ATCTCCACTTGGTTGAGTAGCTGCTGGTGGCACTGGCGTGGCACGGCTGGACTCGTTGACGACGGCTTGAGGGAGATCGATGATCGGTCCGCTATGGTCAGAATCGGTGTCATCTTCTTCCTCCTCTTGTGTTGTTTCCTCAGGTGCGCTTGCTGGTTCCTGTTGGATAGAGGGTAGAGAGGAGGAAGAGGAAAACTTATGCCAACCTGCAAGGGACATGTCTTCATAGAAGACAACATCCCTTGAAACCACTTCTCGCTTGGTGACAGGATCCCAAAGGACCCATCCCTTGCTCTCATTGCTCATGCCGATGAAGAGGCCCCAATGAGCTTTGCTGTCCAGCTTGAGTCTCTTTGCATCTGGAACACGGTATTGGGCCATGGAACCAAAAACACGAAGCATAGACAGATCTGGTTTAACTCCAAACCAAGCCTCATATGGCGTTACACCATCCGGTAAGGGCCTTGTGGGTCTCCTGTTGCGAACATAAATTGCCATAGTGATTGCCTCACCCCACCAGAGCTTGTCAAGGCCTTTGAACTGAAGGAAAGTGGTAGCTATAGCCTGGATAGTGCGATGAAACCTCTCTGCCACTCCATTTTGCTGAGGACTATAGGGACAAGTGAACTGTTGTTTGATGCCCAATGCCAACAACTCCCCCTGAAACGCTTTCCCCATGTACTCACCTCCTCGATCCGACCTCAAGGTGAGTAACTTCTTCCCTGACTCTCTCTCAACAAGTGCTAGCCATTGCTTGAAACACTTGTGAACTTCATCCTTGGTGTTGATGAAAAAGGACCACGAGAAACGACTCTTGTCATCAATGAAAGACACCAAATATCTCTTACCGTTTCGAGTAGGTTCTCGCATGGGGCCGAAGACATCAGTGTGGACCACCTCTAGGAGGTCCCTTGACTGAGACTTAGAAGGGAAGAATGGCTTTCTAGCTAGCTTACCTTCCACACAAGATGGACATGGAACGGAAGAAAGGGACTTGACTGCACTTTCACTCAAACTCAATCCTTCACGCTCTTGTGATTTACCAACTCTTTCAATGCTTGCACTCCCACGTGCCCCAAGCGTGCATGCCATACCTCAGCTTGGGAGATACTCCCTTCGTTGTTGACTTGATCGGTTGAAACAGCGGGAAGCGAGACAACGTCGTTCTTCGTGTTGCTAGCACCGCGCTTAATCTCCAACTTCGTCTTGTAGAGCCGCCCGGTACGCTCGCCTTCAACCACCAGATTTCCTGCACTGTCCCACACTTTGGCTTTCCCCCCTTGCAAGAGAACGGAGGCACCTTTCTCTTCGAGTTGTCCGGCTGAGAGCAAGTTTGCTCCCAAATCAGGAACAAACAAAGCTTTATTGACACAAAATGACTTACCATCCTTTTCGAACTCAAGCTTGCCGACTCCTTTGATTGGTACTTTGCCAAGATCAGCAAGAGTCACAGCTTTTGAGTCATATGAGGGCTGAAAATCCTTGAGAATGGACTGATAGGGAGTCATGGTTTCAGAGCAGCCACTATCAAGAATAAACTCCTCACTACTAGTAGAGAAAACGTGCATGCAAGTAGCAGCGTTAAAAAGGACAGGACCATCGGACTCTTTGGACTCATCTTGACTTGTAGAATGACTTGCTATATTTGCTATGGCTGCCTTACCTTTTTCAGATAGTAGCTGAGGTGGGGGGACCCAATTAGGAGGCTTCTTAGGACAAGCATACGACGGGTGACCCCACTCATGACAACAAAAACACTCAAAATTAAACTTTTTAGCATTCGGGGCTTGGCTGAAATTATTGACTCTTGGCGTATTGACTCTTGCATTCCTAGGCTGGTATTGATTGGGAATCGAAGGCCTTGGCTGGACATAGGGACTGGACTTATAGGGAGGACTTGACTGAGGAAAACGAGAGGGTTTGTATGGCTTGGAAGGTGACTGAAATTTCGTACCGTAGTAGGGTTGAGGGCGGTTTGGGCTGAAGTTTCCTTGCCTCTGGAATTGGTTGCCATATCTTGTGGTTGCTGCAGCACTCCACGCACCTTCGTCACTCCGCTTGTTCCGTGCAAGGTCTCGACTCTGCTGCTCGTTGACAAGGGCCTCAAAGATGAACGCACGACTCTTCATTGACTGCGGGAGCGCTTGTAGTGTTGCACAGAAAGTGTCCCACTCCGGTGTAAGGCCGGTGAGGATGACGGTCTTGAAAAGAGACTCTGGAATCTCCAAGCCGATCGCTGCTGCTTCCTCCAGCATTGCTTCAGCTCGTTGTAGGTAGCCTTGTGCTGATTCATCTTCTTCCATCTTCAGATTCATGAAGCGGCTCCACATCTCGGCTTGGCTGCTCTCGGATTTTGACTGGTGCATAGTCTTCAGTCGGCTCCATGCTTCCTCTGCACTGTTTGCCTTGGTAGAACAGGGCAGGAGCGACTTCAACTGCTGCTCGTGAATGCTATTGAGTAGGTAGAGGAAGGCCTCCTTGTTGCGTCGTTCGTAAAGTCGTTTTTCAGCTTCTGAAGCATCTGCTGCTGGTTTGGCTGCTTCTCCAGTGTAGTAAGGCCACAGATCCAGAAGCGATGCAGTGAGCTCAAACCGAGTTGCCCATGTTGGAAAATCTTTGCCGTTGAACTTGGGGAGGTGAAGCTTAGGCATGAAGGAGGTGAGTGGTGAGTATGTTGTTGAAGGACTGCCTGGTGCAACTGCTTCCACTAATCTAGTAGCTGCTGATGTTGACTCTGAAGCTCCTCCGGCTGGCTGGAGTGCAGGACCAGATGGATTGTCTCCCGCCATGTTCGTATGGTGCTAGGATAGGAACGTGGTGGGCTAGGTTGATCGAAACGACGAGCTCTGATACCAACTTGTAAAACAGAGTAGCTGTGACTACTGGAGGGCTGGAAAGTCTTAGCAGGGCTGCTGGAATTGACTGGATGAGGTAAAACTTCACTATGTTCAAGATTAACAAGCCCACTAAAGCACAACTCTATAGGCATCACAAAAACGACAGATTGAGAGCTCAAACTAGGCTGATAGACAATGTAACTTCCCTGGTAACATGGGCACAATCTAGATTGCATGGACCTTGAGTGACTTTGAGTACCACATGAGGTGCATGAATAAGAAAACTCTGGATATTTCTGTTATAGCTGATTCTGATGTGTAGAAACCTGTAGAAACTGCCAACACTTCGGTTTGAAGGCAGCTTTGAACTGTATCGAGTCTTCGGCTGAAATCTGATTGGTGGTGGAACTTTCGAAGTACTTCCCGAAGCCTCTGATTCATCGCCGACATTCCCCCTTGCTGCTGCTTGTGTGCAAAGGGCTGGGGCGGCAGAAACTCGATTCTCCAACACACCAGCCCCCCACACAAAATGAAACAAACTTCGAGATAGCGGGGCGTGTTTACACAAACCTCAAGATGGAGTTGGAAAGGCGACAGAGCTTAGGGGTCTGATAGGATTATCGCGATTGTCGCAAGCCATGGTTTCAACACAAAATTGCAGTGCATTGCTAAACGAAACAAAACGACGGCTTCGTTGTTTAATTTGTTACAAACATGTGAAACTTGGACGTTTCAGGAGTGAGTTTTAAGTGCACCCCAGCATGTTCGCCAGCTCAGAATCGCACTTTAGACAGCTTGAATGGAAAAAAATCGTTATTGTACGGTTTATGTGGATGCGAATCGGTAATCAGTAACGAGTGCTGAAATGCCTTCTGACCCACGTGTGTTGCTGCACAGTTCACTCACTCAGGTCCCATTCCGGGCTCGTGTCAATTTGAGTTGGTGACCTCACACCAACTCAAATTGACACGAGCCCGGAATGTTACCTCACACCACCGACGTACGAGCGCACGATGTGGGGAATACAGCCTTTAGCGAGACTCGCGACATGGTGTCCCCTCGTCTAAATCACAGGCTTGTTCCAGCACTTAGGCATCAGCTGGACGATAAATATATAGCTTCCTCGCCTGCTCTACACCTGACCTCTCTAACGAGCCGCGGATTACCGTGCGGCAATCCACGTTGCTCTATACTCCGCTCCGTCTAACCGCACGGCCGTGCCGCGCGGCCGTCTGCGGATTACTCCCGTGCGGCCGCTGATACCGACTTACAACGGCATGGCGTCCACGTCGTTCCATCTTATAGCGCGTACAGCTACACCCTCATCGTCGCCATGGTACACCCATCAGGCGAGCAATGTACCACAGCGACAGCGTCGCATGCGGTCGCACAGCCAGTCGCATGTGGGACAGGAATCGCGCAACCGGTTTATTGTAGTGCCGCGCATGTCTGGCGACGACCAGACGACTGCTTCTAGTCGCCGCAGCACCGCAACACCAGCAGCGCAGCAGAGAACCAGAGACGCCGGTACGGACGCAGCAGCAGCATCGGCAGTCGAAGCAACATCCACCACCGACGAGGCCGTTTCGGGCTCAGCAGCCGTCCTAACATGTGAATGTTCGCATGCGCGCGTCTCGCCACACAAGCCCCCTCCGCTGGACCCCCATGGGCTGGCGGAATTTCCAAGCGACTCCCCCCTGCCCTTCGCCCCGCACCTGCGCCTCCTCTGGCGCGCGCTGCAGCAGCAGCCGGGCTTTAAGCCCCTGCCGCTGTCCCCTCACCTGGCTTTCAGGGAGGGCGCGGGGAGGGGCGCGGGCAGGCGGGGAGGGCGGAGTGGGGACGGGAGGGGGGGTGGGGAAGGAGGTAGCGGTGGAGGGAGAGGGGAGGGGGAGCGGGGAAGGGGGGGTGGTGAGCAGGGGGAGGGGGGTGCGCGGGGAGGGGAGGAGGAGAGGCCAGGTGTGAGGAACTGGTTGGTGGAGACGGCAGTGCTGCGGCGGGTGCGGGTGTCGTATGTGGACTGTGGGGCCAAGGTGCAGGCGCTCACTGCTCTCTGCTACCCTCGCTTCAGGTGTGTGCTGCTGCCAACTCCAGGTGTGTAACGTGTCCCACCCACCCTCACGGCGGGTGCGGGTGTCGTATGTGGACTGTGGGGCCAAGGTGCAGGCGCTCACTGCTCTCTGCTACCCTCGCTTCAGGTGTGTGCTGCTGCCAACTCCAGGTGTGTAACGTGTCCCACCCACCCTCACGGCGGGTGCGGGTGTCGTATGTGGACTGTGGGGCCAAGGTGCAGGCGCTCACTGCTCTCTGCTACCCTCGCTTCAGGTGTGTGCTGCTGCCAACTCCAGGTGTGTAACGTGTCCCACCCACCCTCACGGCGGGTGCGGGTGTCGTATGTGGACTGTGGGGCCAAGGTGCAGGCGCTCACTGCTCTCTGCTACCCTCGCTTCAGGTGTGTGCTGCTGCCAACTCCAGGTGTGTAACGTGTCCCACCCATCACCCTCACGGCGGGTGCGGGTGTCGTATGTGGACTGTGGGGCCAAGGTGCAGGCGCTCACTGCTCTCTGCTACCCTCGCTTCAGGTGTGTGCTGCTGCCAACTCCAGGTGTGTAACGTGTCCCACCCATCACCCTCACGGCGGGTGCGGGTGTCGTATGTGGACTGTGGGGCCAAGGTGCAGGCGCTCACTGCTCTCTGCTACCCTCGCTTCAGGTGTGTGCTGCTGCCAACTCCAGGTGTGTAACGTGTCCCACCCATCACCCTCACGGCGGGTGCGGGTGTCGTATGTGGACTGTGGGGCCAAGGTGCAGGCGCTCACTGCTCTCTGCTACCCTCGCTTCAGGTGTGTGCTGCTGCCAACTCCAGGTGTGTAACGTGTCCCACCCATCACCCTCAGGGCGGGTGCGGGTGTCGTATGTGGACCATGGGCCCCCCCAAGGTGCAGGCTCTCACCGCTCTCTGCTACCCTCGCTTCAGGCTTGTGCTGCCTGCTTCAGGTGTGTGTGTCCCACTGCTCTCCCTCACACCCTCTCTCCCACACACTCCCTTGGCCCTCCTCTCACTTCCACCTCCTCAGTTGCCGCCTCGCCCTGCTTGCAGTAGTGCTTCTCCTCTCTGCTTCGTCTCCTTCCCTCATGCCCTACACATGCTGTCTGCTCTTTCGGCCTCCCCCCTCCCTGTTGTGCCTCTACTCCCTTCGCCTGCTGTCACTCTCTCGGTTCCTCACTGTATTGCCTGTGCTTCCTCTCTCCCCTTCCCCCGCCTCCTCCACGTCTCTCCCAGGTGCGACCTGCCATTGCTGGCAGTTGAGCTGCCATTGCTGGCAGTTGAGCTGCCATTGCTGGCAGTTGAGCTGCCATTGCTGGCAGTTGAGCTGCCATTGCTGGCAGTTGAGCTGCCATTGCTGGCAGTTGAGCTGCCATTGCTGGCAGTTGAGCTGCCATTGCTGGCAGTTGAGCTGCCATTGCTGGCAGTTGATCTGCCATTGCTGGCAGTTGTTGCTGGCAGTTGAGCTGCCATTGCTGGCAGTTGAGCTGCCATCCCTCATGTCCCTCACATGTTGCCTAGTTTTGAGGCGCCTCAAAACTAGTTTTCCCTCCACCCCCTGCCCTCCCGCCTCCCCCAGGTGCGACCTGCCTCTACTGGCAGTGGAGCTGCTGTGTTTCAACTCCTCCCGCCTGCTCGCCTTCGTTGACCTGCACCCCACGTCGCCCCACCAACTGCACCGCCTCACCCAGGGAAACCTCCTCCCGGTGAGTGTGTGAGCAGCCAGTGAGCCGGTGAGCCCACCTGTTACCATCCCTTGTCAAATCTCTTCATGTTGCGTCGTATCCTACCCCCCATCCTACTCCCCATCCTACTCCCCATCCTACCCCCCATCCTACTCCCCATCCTACTCCCCATCCTACTCCCCATCCTACCCCCCATCCTACTCCCCATCCTACTCCCCATCCTACTCCCCATCCTACTCCCCATCCTTCTCCCCATCCTACTCCCCATCCTACTCCCCATCCTACTCCCCATCCTACTCCCCATCCTACTCCCCATCCTACTCCCCATCCTTCTCCCCATCCTACTCCCCATCCTGCTCCCCATCCTACCCATCACGTGCAGGCATCAGTGACTGCTCGTCCGTCTGAGCACTGTCCAACAGCACCACGCCATCTCCTCACACTCATGACCGTTTGCCAACCTGCACTGCACCCCGTCCTTTTATTGGTTCCTTTATGTCGCATCCTGCTCCCCATCCTACCTCTCGCGTGCAGGCATCAGTCACTGCCCGTCTGAGCACCATGCGCTCACAGCACGCGCACCTGCTCACGCCCATGACTGCCCGCTTCTTTGCCTCTGACTCGCACTTCCTCTCGCCCCACTTGTCACCCTACTCCCCCCCCCCATCCCACCAACCACGTGCAGCCCACAGTAACTACCCGTCTGAACACTGTTCGCCAGCAGCACGCCCATCTGCTCACGCCCATGACGGCGCGCTTCTTCGCCTCTGACTCACACTTCTTCTCCCCACACCTGCTGCTCTACCGCTCTCAGGACGGCTGGGCCGATGCCAACCTGCAGGTGAGTAAGACCCAGTTGTGCTGTGCCTGTGTGTGCCTGGGTATTGCTACCCTCTGCCCCCCTCGCTTCTTCTCGCCCCACCTGCTGCTCTACCGCTCACAGGACGGCTGGGCTGATGCCAATTTGCAGGTGAGCCGCTGCAGTGCTATGTTTGTGCTATTTTAGGTGCAGCATTGCTGTTCGTCTGGGTGTGGCTGGGTACAGTGCGGTACCCTCTGGCTTGCTTCGTCTTGGCCCACCTTCTGCTCTACCACTCGCAGGACGGCTGGGACGATGCCAAATTGCAGGTGAGTGAGTGAGTGACACCCACTTGCACTGTGCTTGTGCGGGTGCAGCTGGATACAGCATGCTACTCTTTGTTCCTCGCACTTCTTCTCCCCCCACCTGCTGCTCTACCGCTCACAGGCAGGGTGGGCCGATGCCAACCTCCAGGTGAGGGTGCTGCAGTGGTCTACCTGTTGCTGTCCCGTTGGTGGTAAAGATATGGAAATGGCTCACTCTGAGTGCTACCAATAGTCGCACTTCTTCCCCCCCGCACCTGCTGCTTTACTACTGCTCATAGCACGGGTGGGTGGGCCGATGCCAACTTGCAGGTGAGTGAGTGAGACCCCGTTGTGCTGCGCCTGTGTGTGCGCCTCTTAGCACGTGTGTGGCTGGGTGTGCAGTATGCCACGCTGCCTGTGCCACGCCACCCTCCTGCTCTGCTGGTCACACCATTCATCTCCTCGCCGAGTACATCACAGCCCACCACGACGCCTGCATGGTCATTGCCTCTCTGTTCCCTCAACCCACCCTCTCCCTCCCGTCTCCCACCATCACAGCCGCCCACAGGTAGTGTGTGGCAGCTCCTCACCGAGTACATCACAGCCTACCACGACGCCTGCATGGCATGCCATGGGGGGGCAGCACCACCCACACAGGCGGAGTGCCGTGCAGCAGAGGAGGGGCAGAGGGCGTTTGATGAGTACTTTGAGCGCCACGACCCCGCCGTGAACATGCTGGGCCAGCTGTTTGGGGAGCAGGTGAGTCTTGTTGGTGAGGTGAGGCTGTTCGGGGAGGAGGTGAGGCTCTTGTGCTGTCGCTGCTGGGGTATGTCTGGGGAGGAGGTGAGGGCGTTCGATGAGTACTTTGAGCAGCACGACCCCGCCGTGAACATGCTGGGGCAGCTGTTTGGGGAGCAGGTGGGGCTTATTGTGTGCTCCTGCTAGGATGAGGTGAGGGTGTTCGGGGAGCAGGTAAGGCCTGTTGATGAGGTAAGGCCTGTTGATGAGGTAGGGTGCCCGTGCTCCTGCTGCTGCACATCATGCATGTCGATGAGTACTTTGAGCGCCACGACCCTGCAGTGAACAAGCTGGGGCAGCTATTTGGGGAGCAGGTGAGGCTCTAGTGCTGCCGCTGCTGGATGCGCGAGGGCTGTTGGAGCTCTGCTCTGCACATCACATGGGGAGCAAGCCTTCTCCAACAGCCCATACTTCTCTCTCCTGTCGTCTCTGCTTGCATGCGCATGCTCCCACTCGCTACTATCCCTCTCCTTACTGTGTCATTTCTTCTTCACCCTTTGCACTTCTTGTTCCATCTCCATCCCTCCATAACCCCCCCTTTCTTGTCATCATTGCCAGCCCTCATCACCATCTCCATCTTCTGTTGCTGCTCCCATCCCCTTGTTCTCACTTCACTGCTCTCCCCACTCTCTCACACTCAAATTCACCCTCAACCGCTCTCCGTCACTCACTTTTTCACTACTTCCTCCCTCCTACCCCTCCCCACCCCTTCAGTGGACACAAGCGTACACCAACCGCTTCCTCTTCCCCCTCGCTGCTCCCCGTCGCTCCACCGCACCTCCCTCCTCCTCTCCCTCCTTCCTCTCTGTTTCCGCAAGCCCCATCCCTCCTTCCTCCTCGCATTCCCTCTAGCCCGCACCGCGACCCAAGGAGGTTTCATAGTGCCAAGCCAAGAGGAGCTCACTAAGCAAGACAGACCTTCAGGTTTAGCAAGTGGAGTAGCCTAATCCCGGCATCGGGAGCTTCGATAATGTGACACAACAGACTGTTAAGTCGCTCACGTGTTGCGCTCACCTGTTGTACCGTACTAGCTATAATGCTGGGTGCTATATCAAATGTAAGTTATTCTTAATGCACTTACCGTACCCTGGCAGTGGCCCACAGATGTCCTGACAACATTCGTGTGCCTTCAGGTTTGGGAATGTGGGACAGCCCACAATCTCGCCATAGGCCTCACCAGGCTGTCGAACACAAGGTCCCTCTGAAAGTAACTGCAATATCTTTCGTAGCGAAGGCCCTGTCTGGTCGGACCATGGTTTGACAAAGGTGCTTTGTTTTACGCTATCGGTAGGTAAGTGGGCAAGACATGGTTGGATCAGGGTGGATTATAATGTTGGAAACAATTAACTCTAAGCGCCTCTGTCGTGTCGAAACACCAAGACACAAGCGAAGCAAAACACTATCGAAGCACCAGCGAGTCAACCCTCGGAGGTTGAAGTAACTGTCGGAGGTTACGCGAAAGTCAAAGGTCAGCGACCTTTGACCTGACAAGTACAGCGCGACAGCAAGGACACACAACAGACTCGTTACAGAGCAGTTGCCCGAGTCGTCACTGTATCGAACCGCAACAGCAACAGTAAAGTAGTTATAGCTGTGTCTTTTCATATTTCCTGTACTCATATATAATCTTGTATCTCTTTGCTTTAATCAATCAACTTTGCCCTCACATACTAGCGCAAGGTGGTTCACAACTCTTCATTAAACGCTTCCGCTACTACATCAGTTCTACCCAAAGTTCACCCCTGCAAAGATCCTAAGGGCTATTTTTTCTCAGCCCAACATATAAAAGATAACCAGCAAAGATTCTTCTGTTGGCAATCCAGGCATCAGAGTAACTCTGGTCTGAACTGGAATGGTTGGAGCAATGGCCATCTCAGCAAGGCCCTGAATCTGATGGTTAGGGGGATACAAATCTGAAATACCGTACGGTACCGTACCATGCATATCTTGCAAAAGCTCTACATGCAGGGCAATACTACCGCAACACATTTTTTTCACACCTTCATGTGCCACACCTCGAAACGTGCAATGATGGAATGTGTGTGGTGGATATGGTTCCATTTGGTAGCCTCGCCTCGTTGCGAAAAGCTTTTGTCCAGTAAGGCAAAATGGAAATAGATATATTGTATGACAGCATTGAACCCCGTGATTGATAATACGTTATTCCTCAAAATGACAGAGGTACCTAAATTGGAAGTGGTGTAGTAATGTGGTATGATCTGTAGCACATGATGACTTGCTTTGTGTAATTGTCAAAGAGCTAAAGCTAGTTAGGCTTAGAAGCCATGGCTAGAGTAGCTTAGGAGATTAGGTTTCGGGTTGAAGGGGGATGTCGAGAGAGTTCCAAAGGAGAAAGGTGGTCCAATAAAGAGAGGAGGTACAAGGATATAGGCAAAGCAAGCAAGGTGCACCACCAAACAATGTAACACTACACTAACTACTGCTACAAGCAGTTTATATAAGAAATGTATTTCAACAGTAATTTGTGTCGCAACTCAATAGATACCTCATGTACTAAAAACCTAAGCTTATTGTGTAATAATATGAACACTGGTTGTTAAATGCATATAAAGATGTGTTTGGAAGCATTTAACACTCCCGTAAGTAATTGTGCCTTGTATACTGCGTGTTGAGATACAATATTTGACATAGTAATATATTTTAAAAGCTTCTTGAATCTATGTACACTTCGATATATCCTTTAATGTGCTGAGTCATCCCTCGTTTCCGTGACAATCGTTGTGGTTGGCGAACCCTCGCATATCTGGAGGGGACTGACCTGCTCAACTTTCCTGGTTGCGGATTGTCGGGGCGAACCCCAGCGAGCCCTCGCATTGGTCGAGCTGGCACATTATCTGCTCGCCGATTTCTCCCATTCGATCCTGACGCTAGCGATGGATCTCCTGGGCTGCCCCCGTGTGACCTTTCGCCGCGACACGGCGGACCCTCCCTGATCCTCAGACCTCCTGAATTACCTCTCCTTGCAACCCCCAATCTTGGAGTCGTTGACGAACCCAACCCAACTTTCAGTGTACCCCAGCTTCCCCTGCTGTACACTGCATCAGAAGCCATGGCTGCCGTCGTCGCCTCCCACACCGTCGCGGCTGTTGCCAGCTCCGTCGTGAGCAAGTCGGCCTTCTCCGGCAAGAAGGTTCGCTCCGTCAAGGTCGCTGCTGCTCCCCAGAAGGTTGCATTCAGCGTGTCCGCAGATGCCGACAGGCCCCTGTGGTTCCCTGGCAGCACCCCTCCCGCTCACCTTGACGGCACCTATGCTGCTGACTTCGGCTTCGATCCCCTTGGCCTTGGTTAGTCTCTTATTCCTGCACTAAACATTTCGAAATTGTTTTAGTAATGTGCTTAGTTGTATTCATTCCGGATTGTTCAATTATTTATGTGCTTATGTTTCCTCCATTTTATCCCATTCTCCTGCAGCCTCCGACGATGTCAACTGGTACGTCCAGGCTGAGCTCGTCCACTGCCGCTGGGCCATGCTCGGTGCCGCTGGCGTTCTGATCCCCGACGCTCTCCGCGTTGCTGGTCTCCTCGACATCCCCCGCTGGGACATCGCGGGCGTCGCCGACTACGGCATTGACTGGCGTGTGCTGCTGGCTGTTGAGATCGCCGCTTTCGGCTGGGCTGAGGGCAACCGCTGGGCTGACATCATCAAGCCTGGATCCGTGAGGTAAGGCTGGCTGCATGGTTTTACATGGTTTTACTTAGTTTCCACTGTTGGACATTTTCGCCCTAGTGCTGGTCGCTAACGGTTGTTATTTGCGGTTTGCAGCGAGGACCCCATCTTCAAGGGCAACAAGGTGAAGGGTACCGATGTTGGCTACCCCGGCTTCGACCCCCTCGGCATGGGCTTCGGTTCACCCGCTTACGTGAAGGAGATCCGCTCCAAGGAGATCAGGAACGGCCGATTGGCTATGCTTGCTAACCTTGGCTTCTGGGCCCAGGCTGCTTACACCGATGCCAGCCCCGTCGAGAACCTGTTGAACCACCTCGAGAACCCCGGCTTCAACAACTTCGCGCACAACGCCATGGTGAGCATTTCATTTGCGGTATTAATGCAATCGTACACTCTTGCTTACGTAAGTTCATTCCCCTAACGATTTTTTCTTGTGTGTGTGTGTGTGTGTTTTCCCTGTGGTGACTGCAGTCCGTGTTCTATTGAGCTGGGTTTAAGTCCGGTCCCTAGAACTGGATGTAAAGCAGTGTGCATAATATTAATGAAATTTTCTAAAATTCAAACCTTGTTGCTTACATGAGCTAAATTTGGCAAAGAAAGAACTGAATGTTTTGCGCCAGCGTCCTTGCCGAGTTCTCCCCCCTTATGGTGCCATGTAGACAGGAAGTCTGCCTTTACTTCAGACAATAAACTGTCCAATTCTCAATTCTTAGCAAGAATCAGGCCCTCAGATATCAGCGTAAAACACGCTGATTAGGCTGATTTTGTAGCTGTGATTTTCGTTTTCCCTGAAATTTCAGTATATCCTTTATGTTTGCACTGATTTTTCAGTTTAACGTATAGGACTACCCTGACGAATTAGTGTATAGGTGTACCAGTTACACTGAAGCATCAGTATAGTGTAACGAGTCACACTGATTCGGACTTACCAAAATCTGTAAAGTACGGGAGGAAAGTGCGCGTGCATGAGGCTTCAGTACTTGAATCCCCGCCATACACTTCACAACATCTCACACACGGGAATTGACCCCATTGTTGGGCTGAAAAAGGCCCTTAGGATCTTTGCAGGGGTGAACTCTGGGTAGAGTTGGTGTAGTAGCGGAAGCGTTAATAAAGAGTTGTGAACCACCTTGCGCTAGTATGTGAGGGCAAAGTAAGTTGATTAAAGCAAGGAGATACAGGATTATATAAGAGTACAAGGAATATGAAAGGATACAGTTATAACTGTTTTACTTGTTGCTGTTGCGGTTCGATACAGTGACGACTCGGGCAACTGCTCTGTAACGAGTCAGTTGTGTGTCCTTGCTGTCGCGCTGTATTTGTCAGGTCAAAGGTCGCTGACCTTTGACTTTCGCGTAACCTCCAGCAGTTACTTCAACCTCCGAGGGTTGACTCGCTGGTGCCTCGATATGCTTTGCTTCGCTTACGCCTTAGTGTTTCGACACGACAGAGGCGCTTAGGACCGATTGTTTCCAACACCCATGACCTTGCAAGTAAGGCGAAACCTTAGACAGCTACGTCAGTAGTACTGGCCAAATCTCAAGTACAACATTTGCTTCATTTCCCATGAAATTAACCCTGACAAAATCAGCATTAACTAAACCCCCAACGCTGACTTGGTCACGACGTTGGGCAGGGCACGCTGATCCATCAGCATACCCTGAAACCAATCTGAGGGTCTGGCAAGAATTCTACTCAATGCTCATGACCAGGGGAAATTTTATCAGGGTAAATCACCCTGATACCCTGATAATCAGGGTGGTTTTTGGGGGTCACACTGATGGCCTCGGGTAAATTTTTAGGAGCTAGTTTTACCATGATGAACCAGGGTTTACATTTACGTCACACTGATGCATAAGGGTTCCCGGATCCCATAACGAGTTTTACCCTGAATCGAGTACCCTACCCCCCCTCCCCCTCGCCCCCCAGTACCCCCACCCCCCCTTTCCCGTAACCCTGGAATCCCGATTGACAAGTGTCGAAGCCTGATTTTCGGCCTTGACAGCGCATGTGCTGGCACACATTGGGCCACCATTGGCCAGGCTTACAGTTTCTTTGTATTGAGTGCAAGTATAAAAACTAGTGAACAGGGTTTGTTTTTTATGAACACTGATGCGCCAGGGTATATTTTTCCAAAACGGGGAAAACCCTGATGGGAAAGTTTTTTCACAAGGAGTCACACTGATAATCAGGTTTTTGAGCCTGTGCCACACTGATCGTAAGGGTAGGCCAAATCCAAAAATTTGCCCTGCTCATGACCGAAGCTCCCAAAACGCTTCATTGATGATCATAAACATCCCGCCAGCCTACAGGCACAGCTGCTGTCAGTAATCATGGAAGGATTATCAACCTATAACCTGCTCTTCTGAAGCGACCAAAACACTTCATTAGCCACTCTTGTACCCGTGTCCAGCGCCCCTTGCATGCACGGGTTCACACCGAAGTGCGTGGCCTCCCCAGCAAAGAAGAGCTTCCCAGCCACAGGCACCGCCAGCTGGTCCCTTGCATCCCCTGCTCCAATCGTTGGATGCGTGTAGGCGCCACGGATATAAACGTCCTTGGACCAGTCAGCGAAGCAGCCTGAAACGAAGCATGCAGAAGCTGGGTGGCAGGAGGTGCAGAGAGGAGGGGTAGCAGCAGCAGCAGCAGCAGCAGCAGCAGCAGGGCACGAGGGGCCAGTACTCCTGCTGCTGCTGGGTGGTTCCATTGATGCTGCTGGCACGACAAAGGTGCCAACACTGCTGTCTGAAGCACCATTTGGTAGTGCCTGTAGCTGCAGCCCATGCGCCTGGCAGCCCCCACTCAACCCGCTTGCGTCCTTTCCATGAGACTTTTCCGGGCAGGTCTGAGTTACCCTGATACTGTCCGGCCCTGGTTTGCAGGTGGAGCACGGGCGGCCAAACATGGCGTCTAGCTGCTCCAGAGCGCGGGAAATCACCAGTTGGGGCGGCAGCCTCGCCATGGCTTCCGCTGCATCGCCTGCTGCGAATCCGACTGCGAGGAACTGACCCATGGGGACCGAGGGAGGGGGGACAGCTGCAGCTATAGGCGCAGCAGGAGTGGAGGTGGAGGGTGTGGTGGGGAGGGAAGAGGGCGAGCGGCGGGTGAACCATACTTCGGGCAGAAAGGAGTCGGTGCAGACTATGTCAAAGAGGTGGGTGGGCCACACTCGGCTAGAGAAGGCCATGAGCACCTGGAGGGAGGAGGGTGGGGAGAGAAGAAGACAAAGCGAAAGTGAGAGGTGGGGATTGACCGAAAGAGGAGGAGAAGAGTTGGAGAAGAGAGGACAAAGGGAGTCGAGAAGCAGGAAGGACAGAGGGGTTTGATCAAAAGAATGATGCTTGCAAGGTCGTCACACACCCTGCTTCATACCATGCTCACGGTATCTAATGGCACCTGCTTGGCTACGTGCTCTTTGCATGCCCCTCACATGCCCCTTACATGACCCTCACATGACCCTCACATGCCCCTCACATGACCCTCACATGCCCCTCACATGACCCTCACATGCCCCTCACATACCTCTCCCTACAGACTAACCCCATCCTCTCCTCACCATCACAGCGCATCCCCTGCGCACAGTTCCAATGCCCGCTGCTTGGCACATGCCTTATGCATTTCTTCTACACGCCTCTCCCACCACCTTAATCCACCGTACTCTCACCATCACGGCGCATCACAGTTCCAATGCCCCCCTGCTTGGCTGCGTGCTTACTCCTGCCACTCACAAGCCTTCACATCTCTTCCACATGCCTCTCCCACCATCCTACTCCAATGTACTCTCACCTTCACGACACCCCTCTCAACCTAACTGCACCCCTCTCGCCTTCACGGCACACCCCATGCGCACAGCGCCTATCGCCCGCTGCTTGGCTGTATGCATCTCAAATCTTCCACACAACGTTCCAACCTTACTCACCTTCACTGCACCCCTCTCACCTTCACTGCACCCCTCTCACCTTCACAGCACCCCTCTCACCTTCACAGCACCCCTCTCACCTTCACTGCACCCCTCTCACCTTCACTGCACCCCTCTCACCTTCACTGCACCCCTCTCACCTTCACAGCACCCCTCTCACCTTCACTGCACCCCTCTCACCTTCACTGCACCCCTCTCACCTTCAATGCACCCCTCTCACCTTCACTGCACCCCTCTCACCTTCACTGCACCCCTCTCACCTTCAGTGCACCCCTCTCACCTTCACTGCACCCCTCTCACCTTCACTGCACCCCTCTCACCTTCACTGCACCCCTCTCACCTTCACAGCACCCCTCTCACCTTCACTGCACCCCTCTCACCTTCACTGCACCCCTCTCACCTTCACTGCACCCCTCTCACCTTCACTGCACCCCTCTCACCTTCACTGCACCCCTCTCACCTTCAGTGCACCCCTCTCACCTTCACTGCACCCCTCTCA